TAATTCTACATAGGTAATGAAAATAATACTCTTCTACATTAAAAAGTGGCCTTTATGAATATTTACATAGCAATGTTTTTATGTTAATAAATTATAAACAGCTCCAGATATTCAAAATGGCTAAATATGATATGAGAACACATGGAATATTATGGTTGTTCAATGAACTAATATATACTGGGTTATTGGAAAATCATGACGTATTTTTTTTCTGTTTTGCTGTGCAAAAAGGCATCATGACTTTTCCGACAACCCACTATTAAGTAGTATGGTGCCTGGTGTGTGATCAATGTTAGTGATCATCATTGTCACTATTAGTTCTATTACTAGTACTACTATTAATTTTATTAAAAGAATAAGCATGCAGTGAACAGCCCTGTAGCCTAATGGTTAAGGGAGCTGGATCCCACATGACTGAGTGCAGTTCAAATACTGGGCCCAGCGGCTTGAAAAACACATTAGGTCTACATGCATGCCCCAAATCCAGCCAGGATGGAGAAATAGAAGAGAAGGGACTGTGGAGTAATCATGCTCCACGGGGTTGGGGGGTGCTTTCTCTCTCTCCCTCTCTTTGTCTTTCTGTCGTAAACACACATGACCTCTAGCAATTAAAAAAAAAAAAGATAAAGGGACCAGCAGGTGGTGTGGTGGATAAGGGCGCTGGATTCCCACATGGCCAACCATGGTTCAAGTCCCGGACCTAGTGGCTTGCTTTCTCACTTTCCCTTTCTCTCTCTCTCTCTCGTCAAATAAAAAAGAAACTAACAATAACAAATGGAAATAAATAAATAAATAATTTTTAAAAAAGGATAAGTATGTAAACTAGGCTGATACATGGAAACACACAGTGAAAATAATGTTAATTAGAAAAAGCAAAATGCTAATAACTCATTTGAAAGTAATGACTTTATTTTTCTGTTTTTCTATGCAAAGTGTATCATGACTTTTCCCAATGACCAAATAATTAAAACCTCCATTAAACCTCATGTTTTAATGAAAGCAACAGAGACATATACATGCCCATTAGCAATCATTTTAAAATGACTTGAAAACTTGGTAAAATTCAGTGCTCATTAAGTTATTATTTTGATTGATTTGTATATTGAAAATTAGGTGGACTTGAAATGATCTCAATACCCAATGTCATTTTAAATTTCTGGCTTACTTTGCTAGTTAGCATAGGCATTTTGTGAAACATTTATGAAAATACAACTGTGACAGATAATCTCATTATTTATTTAATTTTTTTTTTGAGAGGTTTTCGCTATAGGGCGCGTGCGCTCGCCAGACAGACAGAGAGAGACATAGAGACAGAAAGCGAGAAATCACCCCCCGGGGGGATGGTCAGGCTGCAATCCCTTCTCCTCCATTCTCCTCTCGGGATCTTGGGCACGCACGCACACGCGCCTGGCGTGAGTTCTCAGCCACCCGGTCCGGGATGCGAACCGCGGTCGACTACGTGGGAGTCCAGCGACATAGCCATTACGCTAACTGCTGGTTCCCAGGTAATCTCATTATTGAAGAGACTTTCCTTAAATGATTCGTGGTCCCTGAAACTATTAACTTCTGGAAAAAAAAAAAACAAAACATAATTGAACAGCTCTTCTGCTCTGTAACTGTTTACTTGACAACTACATGATATTTAGCACACATTTCTCACTTAATATGACCACTGCTTACTAAAGGAAACATCTCTAAAAATATGCAGAGAATCCAATAACCAAGTAAGACTTTTATGTGTTATTTTAGTTTATACCAGTACTTTTTTTTAATCCACTGATAAATGTCAGAAAGGAAGTAGATCATTGTTTATTTTATTCCTTCATCTTAGCACTGAATAGATCTGATACTGATCCTCATACAATGACCTGACCTTGAATTTTTTGCTGAAGTCAAGAACACACCAACAGTGTGTGGTGGTTAAGGCAGTGGATTCCCACATGGCTGATGGCAGTTCGAGTCCTGGACCTGTTGGCTTGCTTTCTCACTTTCTCTCTGTCTCTGGTGAGCACACATGCCCTACAGCAAAACATTAAAAAATAATAAAAACATTGCATTGTTGGAAAAGTTTTGATGCATTTTTATATAGAAAATATGCCACAACATTCCTGACAACCTAATAAATAAAATTAAATTAAAAATTATAAAAAAGAAAAAAGAACATGGCCACTGAAGTGGATATCTAGAGCATCCCCCAAAGGAAGAGAGAAAGATCATTTTCCCCTCAGTTAACAGAATCCTCTTCAAGGTGTCTACTGTGGACAACGAATATGGGTTGTGAGGGTTATTTAGAGCTATAGCATCTCCTCTCCTGGTCGTAACTATACTAGGTTACAAGGTATTGTGCCTTCCTAGGCTGTCTACCTCTTTATCTAGAAATCTATTTGATGTTCTCTTCTATGCTATCTGTTCCAATGATTTGTTTGCATATGTGTCTACACAGCATTAGGCGTGAAACTTTGTGTTCTTGAACTACAGGGCTGGGGATGATTACTCATCCAGGAAGTGTCATGACACTTGGTAATGGAGGTATCTTTTTGTTCATCTTGGACTCAAATCAAGAAGTGGCTTTTCTATCTAAGGAAGAGAAATGCAATCTTTCCCATTGCTCAAGGGCAGAGACAACAGGTGGCAGAGGGGACACACATGGAGACAGGTGGCTTAGACCAGAGACATCTCCTGGGCTAATGAACACAGGCCATTTCTGGATGGCTATCTTGTGTCTCTGCCCAGAGAGAGATCACAAAAAGGAACCATCCAAGGCAAATACAGCTGTAACTAGAGACGCCCAACAAAGACATTAATGGAGGCCAAAGGAGTAACATTTGGATACACATCATTCTCCTGGCTCCGAGGTCATTTCAGAAAGGACACACTGAGCATATTTTGATGGTGTTCTCAGCTCTAGCTTTCAAAGAGCAACTGAAGGGAAAAATAAAACCCTTCAGCTGTATCTTGGTGACAGAGTCAGTGCCTTAATCATCTCTCATAGCTTACATGTTCTGGGATTGAAAATGACCAAGGTTATAATCACCCCTAACAGCAGAGTTTAGTGTGCCCATATAAAGTTAAATTTGCTCATGTAAAGCCACAAAAAAGCTAAAGTCACAAATCAAGACTTAGCTAATGAGGTACTTTCCCTGTTTAATTAGTTTAGTCATAAACCATATAGCAAGATACATGGTGGAGTATACAGTAACTGCACATTAATTATTGACTCTGTATATACCCAAAATATCCCAAATGAGATCGATTTCAGAAGAGTAATGGAATCCTTTTAAACAATTTTTATGACTGATTTCAAGAATGTCTTTCATTGAAAAAGTGATTCATCTTAGATCTCATCACCTCAAAGTGGCCATGCCAATATAAATGAAGTTAATAAACAAGTATTAGATAAAAAATCCTATAGTTTTAATGCATTCATTTGATTACTATTTTGGACAATTAAATTCTATTAATTATATAATAAATAAAATTTCTGTTCTACAGCTGAATTAATTATATGTAATTATTTGTACACACAAATATTTCTGTGAAAAAATCACGAAACAGAGTTTTTGGAAAGAAAAGTATGATAAGTAGTTGAAATAATTTTCCAAAAAAGAATTAAGGTAGAATAAGTTTTATAAGGAAATATATTTTTATTTCTTTGAAAAGTAAACCCATATACTTTTGCCATAAACAATAAGGAATTAATTTGCCTTTGAAAATAAAGACACAAACAATTTTATAGGAGCTCGCACTATGGTGGACTCAGGGAAGTTTGGAGAACAAGGTCTACTCAAAGGAGACGATTAAAGATTAAGAAAGTAAGAGACTATAAAATTAATCTCATCCTTTTTTTAATAGACAAACAAATGATCAAATTCTCATGACATATCTTAGGTTAAAGGAGATTTCTTTTCACTTGCAAAACAGTTTTGTGCATTCTGACTTTTTCTTAATAAGGAAAACAAAATTTTATATGTTAAACTTAACTTTTAAAACATATCTCATTTATTTCTAGTGTAAATGAGAGAGAAACAGGTATCCCCATAGGGTCCTCACATGATGACCCACCCCGAGCCCTCGCGAGCTAGGGTCACAGGCACATGATGTGGCCAGAGAGACTTCAGGACACAAACCCGGGACCTTCCCAAGGCTTTAGCATCATGAAGTGCTGAATAAGCAGTGCATCATCATGGCTGGCCCACATTCGATTCTTTTTCTAATTTATATAAAGTATATTTATATGTTCAATGAGAGAGAAGAGAAAAAAGAGACAGAGAGAGACAGGCACTCTTGATAGGTCTCATCACACCGTGATCCTCTTCTCCTGCCCTCCAGCTGGTCAGGAGTCGGCACAGGCAACTGGACTGTGTCAGGTCAACTCAGGACCCAAACCCATGGTTGGCCACGTGGCTTCCTGCACTGCAGATGGGTACATGCTGCCTGTTAGCACCAAGGCTGGGGTTAGTCTCGATTTTATCATATCTATGAGAGTTTCTAATTTTTCTTGCTAAAATTTACTTGAGTATTTTCCATTGATTACGTATTACTCTTATAATCATAAAAAACTGCAAGCGATTTTTATTCTGAAAAAGAAAATTACAGTTGGACACTTAACCTTATATCTCATGCATTTTTAGCAGGCTTGAAAATATTCTAGGAAAAATCTACTATTATAATAATGAATACATTTGACTATTTCCTGGAAACAATTAGGATTGAGAAGTAAAACCATCTACTAAAAACATCACTGTCTCAAATAATAATGAGTGTTTTGAGAATTCTGGATGAATGTCACATTGGATTAAATAAGAAGCACTTTTGACACCATGAGATCCACCTCCTCACCACCCCCAATCCTCTGCCAAAAAAAAAGAAAAAAAGAAAGCTGAAGAAAATGCAACCAGCTGAGCATGGAAAGCCAAGAGCACAAGGAGCGTCAAGAGCCACGCTGACGGTCTCATGACGGGCAGGCTGAAGAGCTGCCACGCAGACATACTGGAACTTACCTTGCCTTTGGGGGATGATTTTGGCATGTCTCTTTCTAAACCTCTTGTTAAGAAGATGGGGAGGGAGCTCTTAGAACTGGCCTCCTATAAAAGAAGTATTAAAAGGAACATTAGAGATCAAAGACAATTTACCCAAACCGGAAATGGTAAGGTAGTGAAAAGCAGTGTTTAAGGGACACAGGCATTTCTGGATTGAGGTGTTCGCATCAGAAGCCAGCGAGGTTGTGGCGAGTTGTCAAAGCTTCTCTTTTATTTATCACATACAACAGTAAGTTAGATAAAATCATGAAGGGGTGGGACCCACAGGAAGTATGTATCCAGACATGATCCTAAAAATTCTTTTCTACACCATCATGTCACTGTGTCATGTACTTATACGATATAGACATCTCGCCTTTTCTTTTGAGAACTGAATCATTTCCAATATATTAGTCAACAACATTCCTCATGATATTTTCCAGATGTATTCTGACTCTGTAAATACTGTATCTTAAACAAATTCCTAAATATCTATTTCCAAAATTACTAATGTCCTGAGTCCTTGGTTCGAACTTAAATAGTATCTAAAAAAATAATGGAGGAAATCACAAGGAGACAGTTTTAAATGGAGTTGGATAGATTTACTATTAGTTTTAGATGATAAACAGAAATGATAATAATCTTATTCATTTGTTTCAGTAGGGGCCTATTTCTGAATAGCCATTAACTCAGATGAATGTTCCAAACCTGAGCCTGTCTCCAAATTCAGATTAAAAAAATATATAGTAGGGAGATTACAGACAATAACGAATAAGGAGAAGGGTATTCAGATGTCTTTTACTTGCTCTGTAACCTCTTCGTCTGCATCGCTTATTTTCCCCCACCATAGAGTCAATAATCTAAATCATGAGTTTTCTTTTTTTTTTTTTTTCAAGTTTACTTTCAGGTTAATTAATCATAATCTTTTAAACCAAATCTTAGTCTATAGTCTTTACCATATTACTAAAATTTTCTGAAATTATATCCACTTGTTTCTAATAGGAACAATTCATTATTAGAATAAAATCTACTAATAAATATTGAATCATATGTTTATCAGACCCTGGCCTACAGACTTCATGTTTGTAAAGCTAACCCTACCCTCACTGGACTCCCCCACAACCAACAGCCCTAGAGGTAGGCTACTGCATCTCCCCTCTTAAGAGTAACACAATAAGGCTTACAGAAGTCACGTAAACCTGCCCAGTATCACACAGGACTCAAAGATGTTTCTGTACAAATTAAGGCCTGTCTCATTACCTTTAAATACTACTCCTCATCTCCAATATACCTGACATCTTAAACCACTAAGTTGTGGCACTATAGAATTTTATTTAAAAAAATTTTTTTATTAAAAGAATCTTTTTTTAATGTTATTGTTGTAGGGTGTGTGCATTTGCCAGAGAGAGACAGTAAGAGGGAAAGTGAGAAGTCACCTCTCAAGGGGAATGGCCATGCCACAATCCCTTTTCCTCCATTCTCCTCCTGGGATTTGGGGCACACACACACACATAAACACAAACACAAACACGTGTGCCCAGCATGATTTTCAAGCTGCCAGGTCTGGGACTCAAACTGCAGTCAACCATATGGGAGTCTAATGCCTTAACCACCACATCACCTGCTGGCCCTGAGCTATAGTATTTTAAAGCCAAAAGAATGTTTACAGGTTAACTAGTCTACGCCCTTAATTGTACAGATGGGGGACTGGGATCCTGAAGTAATATTCCCTAGATCACGTAGGGTGGCAGAGCTGAGATCCATGCCTGGACCGCAGGGCTGTACATGGCACCTGTTCTTGGTTTTGTGCTAGGGAACAACATTCCCAGACTCACAGGGGATCAGGAGGCTCTTCTAAGCTCACTGGAGGAGCTGCCAACACTCTCAGCTGCTTGTGACTCCCTGTACAGCCCTGTACAAGACCCAAGGGTACATTTCTGAGATCCCCAAATAGGTGTGTGTTCCGGCTCTTCCCTTTCCCACCAGTAACAACACCTGTTGGTGGTAAAAGTCACTGACTGGAAATAGTGAATGAACCCATTCCCGCTTCTGACTCACTGTGTAAGGGATAAACTATACCCAGCATGACATTTCAAAGAGTCAAGTGATTAACTGCATAATCCATTGCGAAATTTGACAACACTTGGATAATATAATTATGATGAATCCTTGTACCCCCATTTAAAACTACTGGCATGTAAATGCTAGAATATGATGAGAAGAAACAGGGCTGGCTGTTAAAAGACGTCAACGGGAATGGCTGATTTTCCTATGACTGAGAGCTTACAAATGCCTATAATTCTTTTATCCTTATGCACAAATTAAAAGTGATAGTATTTCTTTATTACTCCTCTCTTTTCTCTATGTCTCTGTAAATTAACAAGCACAAGGCTAACAGTTTTCTGCTTTAAGATGCTGAAAACATTTTCTTTAAACATATCTGAAAAACACAAATTATGTTTGTATTTTTTATCTTAAGAGTTTAAATTCAGACAACAGAGACAGAGTCAGAGATCTGAAGTGGAAATCAAGAGACTAGCTTCTCATCCTAGTTTTTTTTAACTAACCAGCTGTAGAAATTGGGCAAGCATGTTAACCTTGGGGCCCCCCACCTCCCTCAGTTCAAAGATCTACAGAACAGCTAATTCTTGGATTAGCTGAGCTCCAAGAATCCTGTCTCATTCCAAATTTCAGGATTTATATTCTTCCAGGGAGAAACAGTATTTATTGACAAAAAGACAAGCCACCACCTGTTGAATTGCATTCCAAATATCCCACCAGAATGCTATTGAAACTCATCTTCTACCCACGCAGTGAGCAGTGAACTGGGGGTTCCAGAGTGCTAACACTAGGGGCCTGCAAGGCCAATGTTACTGAATCAGATTTCCAGAGGAAAGTTAAGTAATTCAACTAGTAGCTTTTTTGATTTGTTTGAGAGATTTTTGTTATAGGACATGTATGCTTCCCATAGAGACAGAGAGACAAAAAGTGAGAAATCACTCCATGGAAGAGATGATTCACAAATGCCTATAATTCTTTTATCCTTATGCACAAATTAAAAGTGATAGTATTTCTTTATTACTCCTCTCTTTTCTCTATGTCTCTGTAAATTAACAAGCACAAGGCTAACAGTTTTCTGCTTTAAGATGCTGAAAACATTTTCTTTAAACATATCTGAAAAACACAAATTATGTTTGTATTTTTTATCTTAAGAGTTTAAATTCAGACAACAGAGACAGAGTCAGAGATCTGAAGTGGAAATCAAGAGACTAGCTTCTCATCCTAGTTTTTTTTAACTAACCAGCTGTAGAAATTGGGCAAGCATGTTAACCTTGGGGCCCCCCACCTCCCTCAGTTCAAAGATCTACAGAACAGCTAATTCTTGGATTAGCTGAGCTCCAAGAATCCTGTCTCATTCCAAATTTCAGGATTTATATTCTTCCAGGGAGAAACAGTATTTATTGACAAAAAGACAAGCCACCACCTGTTGAATTGCATTCCAAATATCCCACCAGAATGCTATTGAAACTCATCTTCTACCCACGCAGTGAGCAGTGAACTGGGGGTTCCAGAGTGCTAACACTAGGGGCCTGCAAGGCCAATGTTACTGAATCAGATTTCCAGAGGAAAGTTAAGTAATTCAACTAGTAGCTTTTTTGATTTGTTTGAGAGATTTTTGTTATAGGACATGTATGCTTCCCATAGAGACAGAGAGACAAAAAGTGAGAAATCACTCCATGGCAGAATGGCCATGCCACAATCCTTAAGAAGGTTACTGGTGGGACCAGCAGAGGGCATAGTGGTTATGTCATTGGACTCCACGTAGTCCACCACAGTTCAAGTCCCAGATCTAGTGGCTTAAAACTCATGTTGGGCACATGTGGGTGTATGCCCAAAATCCCGAGAAGAGAATGGAGGAGAAGGGACTGTGGTGTGGCCATCCACCTGGGGGGGCGGGATGGGGAAGAGGGGTGATGTCTCATTTTTTGTCTCTGATTCTGGTGAGCACACACACCCTATAGCAAAAAATCTCCCTTAAGAAAAAAAAGAAAGAAAATTACTGGCAATAACTTACTATATTATTTAAAATGCATGCTATAGGGACCAGTAGTTAGCGTAATGGCTATGTCACTGGACTCCCACGTAGTCCACCGTGGTTCGCGTCCTGGACCCGGTGGCTTAAACTCACGCTGGGTGCATGTGCGTGCGTGCCCAAGATCCTGAGAGGAGAATGGAGGAGAAAGGATTGCAGGATGGCCATCCCCCATGGGGGGGTGATTTCTCACTTTCTATCTCTCTGTCTCTCTGTCTGTCTGGCGAACGCATGCGCCCTATAGCAAAACCCTCTCCAAAAAAAGAAAAAGAAAAAAAAAATGCATGCTATAAGAATTAAGTGTGAAATATTTTAAAGAGTAAACATTTTAAAAGGCTGTACCTTCAAAAAGTCATTTACCCTCATAGGTATAAGTGAAGAGAATTGGAAACTTACACACAAATGCTCATTGTAGCATTTTTCATAAGAGCCTACGAGTGGGAACAATACACATGTCTGTCAACTTATGAACAGATAAGCAAAATAATGATATAGACATTATTTAGATAAAAAAGGAAAGAGGAAGTGATACCTGCTACAACATGGATGAACTCTGTGAACATTACACTCAATGAAAGAAGCCAGACACAAATGGACATGAATCGTGTGATTTAATGCACACAGAATGTCCAGAATAGGCGAATACTTGAGTGTCAGAGAGCAGATTTGTGGTTGCCAGGACCTGGAGGGAAGGGGGAGTGTGAGTGACTGCTAATGGGTCTAGTGTATGATGCTTCTTTTTGAAGTGGTTAAAGTGTTCTGGGTGGCCCAGTCTGTGGTAGCACAGGCGGTGGAGATGAGGTTCAGATCTTGGGTTGACCAAGTGCATCTGCAAGCAGTTGGGATCCTGGCTGGCTGGGAGGTTGGAGGAAAGGTCCCAGGTGAGACCTTGTGGAGGCTATCTGTGTCTGTCTCTCTCTCTCATAAAATAAATAAATAAAATTTAAAAGTTCTGAAATTACATGATGGTTAT